CCTCCAGAGTGCTAGGATTATAGGCGTGAGCCACCGCGCCCGGCCCAGATTTTCTATTTCTTAAATGCTTTAAAGATATAAAGCATATAAAATCACATTTGCTGCTTTTTAAAGTACAAATCCCAGATCTGTGGAGTCAGAATTCCTGGGTGTGTGTCGTCAAACACGTTCCACAGGTGATACTGACATGCGTCCGCTTCAAATAGATTCAGTTAATAGTACATGAGTGCACCATTATAGTAATTGTGTGGCTATGTTACTGCTTTATAGAAATGTATATAATGAATAATTATGTAATTATACTGTAACAATTAACAATATCATTAATTGTATTAATTGTGCATTTTCTTATTTTACAGAAACTTAAACAGGATCTAAAGGAGTTTCATTCTTCTTCTCTGGTACTTTTGAGAAGTTATCAGACTCAGTATGAGGCCTGCGTTTCTGCGATAGTGGCTGCAGTCGGGAGAACGCAGCTCGACGCGGAGGCGCTACAGGGTAGGAGGGCACTGGGCTGACCACGAGCCAGGCCACGTTCACGGAAAATGCCTGCAGTTTTAAGACAAACAACCGCCTAGAATATAAGTTTCCATTTCTTTTTACTTAGCCGACACCTAATTCAAGGGGCGAGACTGCGCACCATGTAACCCATTAACATTTATTAGGCACCTGCTGTGTTCCAGTGGCTGCCGCCCGGCCAGGAAACTTCTGTTTCTCCTGGTTACCAAAAAGCACGTTCCTGACCCCAGCGGTCACCGCTGGCCGGTGCCTGGTCCCTGTTGAGCTTTCTGTGTAAGATGTTCCTAAAACACGGGGCAAAGTTGTCTTATGGATTCAGGGCTTTCTTCAGTTCTAAGAATTCCAGCAGTTTGACTCCTCTCTGGTTATAATGTGTTTGTTATCTTCAACCACCGTACTTGAAACTCGTGGAAGAGGTTGCTTTCATTCTGTTAAAAGAAAAACTCGAGACAAATTTAACTTAACAGAGTTTAATTAACAAGGAATGACATGCGAATTGGGCAGGCCCCCAACCAGGTTAGGGTCAGGGACTCCGACGTGTGGAGGGAGGGGTTTATGGACAGAGAAAGGTACAAGATGCAGGAAACAGAAGTGAGGCACGGAGACAGCCGGTGGGTACAGCCCTGTTTGGACGCGCTGCGCACAGTCTCAGGCCGTGAGTGGCCGAGACCTGGGCTTGTAGGAGAGGAGGCCGACGTCTGTTACACGTCCAGTCAGGTTGCAGTTCAGGCCAGACTTAAAATATGTAAGGAGGCGGCTTCGGCCAAACTCAACAGTTCCGTAGTTTTAAACCCTCCACCCAAGTAGCGCTGCACACAGACACGCCACCTCATCCTCGCTGCTCTGTACTGTTCCGTGTGTCCACCATGAACAACTTCTAAGGACAGCAGTGTGGTACATTGGCCATTTTGTTGTTATTCCAAAATAGGAGTATGAAAAAGTTTAATTTATGCTATTTTTCTATTAGGCAACCGATAATTGTATTTTAAACAACTTGAGCAATGTAGGATCTCATTTTGGTCTCTTCAGCACAGTCGATCCCAGGGGACGTGACGGCGTGTTTGTAGGTGTGATGCATGGGTGCGTGTAGGGTCCAAGTCACGTGCCCTAGGAAGAGGGACAGTAACATTATTTTGTGAAAATTAGTGAAGCTCGGCTGTGAGAGGTGAGGTGTGTTGTAGAGAACTCGAGGGAGAAGGTGGGAGCAGCTACGGTTCTTTCCCTACAGACACATTGACATAGATGACGATGCAGCTGGCGAACCCCGCGTGCAGGTGCGGTGCACACACTCCTCTAGGGGTTCCACCAGCAAGGGCGTCCTCGCACGTTTGTGGCTAGGGGTCGTGTTCAGGGGCTCCCGTATCCCTGGTCAACCAGCTCCTCCTGGGGTCCAACTCTCGTCACGACGAGTCTCAGACTCCGCCTGACACGCAGACGGCTCATTCCGCAGTTCTGGCGGGGAGGAGCAGGCGCAGGCCGGTGGCGGGGGCCAGGCACGGTCAGGGTCAGAGACCAATGGACTGGGAGGGTCTCTGTGCAGAAAACACCCTCAGAGTCTGGGGTCCTTCCGCTCTCTTACACCGCACTCAGCCTGGGTGTTACCAGGTGTTTCTTTCATAAAGGGAGTTTAGTTATTCTTGTAAGCATAAGCATCATGAAAGTTGCACTGTGCTGAGGTGGCCTTGTCTCCTGGACATCCTGGGGCCGGGGTAGGCATGCCTGGGCACCTTGCAACATGCTGCTAAGTGACACGTGGTGTCGGCCCTGCGAGAGGCTCGAGCGGGTCTGCCATGAATCCTGCAGACAGGATGCGTCTCCCCCACGCTGCCCTGGGCCTCACTCCTATGGCCACGCAGCCTCCACGGCGAGGGCAGGTCTGGGCATCCAGGTCTCCAGGCTTGGCTGGGACCCACACGCCGGCCCTTGTGCCCCACTCATCCTCACATCCTGGCAAGATGCCGCCTTCCTGGTTGACAGATGCAGAGGTGGAAGCCCAGGGTTGCCCTGACGCTGGGCAGAACCGGAGGCCAGACCCGGCTTCTCCTCCCATGCCGAGCTCTCCCCACACCGAGGCAGCTCTGCGGAAACCTCTGGTACTTTAGGCAGCAGCCCCCTGCGGCAGCGCAGGTGACTGGACAGTGTCCACTGCCTGGGTGACCTTGCAGCCCACAGGGCTGTCCAGCCAGGTGTCCTGCACGGGCTGCAGGAGTCCTTAGCCACCGTGGGGCAGTCCGCCCAGCACCCGCAGCGGCAGAGCACACACCACAGCCCCACGGCCACCCTCGCTGGCTTCATCGTGTTTTTAATATCTTCTGTGCTTAGAGAAAATAATGGGTCTCTGCTCCTGTGAATCTCATCGTAACCTGGGGTAAAACTGTCCTTTCAGCCTGGCAGTCACAGGCAGTCCATCTCGAGCAGTCCTTGCAGGAGATCAGAGCGCGCTACCAAGCGGAAAAGCAGAGAAGGAAACTCCTCCACAACAGTTTGGTGGTAAGCGCCGTGGGGCGTCAGCTTCCGGGTGTCCCCGTGCAGTGGTTCAGGAAAAGGCGGTTCAGGAAAGACCTAAGCAGCGACATTGAGGTTGACCTACGTGAAACCAGACAGCACTGGGGCCAGAAGGACACCTGACAGAGCGTGGCCGGTGCCCAGGGAGGAGCGGGAAGGTGGAGCGGGATGGAGCGTCCCTGTGCCCAGCACGACTGGCAGGCCACGGGGCGAGGGGAGCAGCGCAGCCTGGTTCCTGCCTCCCCAGGTCACTGGGCTGCTCTGTTGGGAGGCTCGAGGGGGAGCACGGAATCACCGCAGTGTCGCCAGGTGCTGGTGGCCGTGGCAGGGGTGGGAGGTGCTCGGACCAGCGGGAGGTCGTGCTGGGGGGGAGGAGAGAGAGGCGGTAAGGACGGGGCGAGCCGGGCTGGCCCCTCCCTGCCTGCGTTTCCTCCTGCCCGTGACATTTAGAGTTTTTAAATTTAAAATTTAAAAGATAAAGTTAAGACTCATGTTTCCATTTACCAACATGAGGCTGTCAAAGGTGACGATTTATTGGACAAAACTTACTTGTGGGGTTTGGTGTTCCTCGCTGTACCGTGCTCGAGACTCTGCGGCATGAGACGTTCCTTAGTGCCGGACACATCTGAGAATAATTCTGAGTTTAAGCACGTCTACTCATGTGGCTCAGTACTGCTCACACTGCTGTAAGAGAACATTTATTGAACGCTCACTGTGTACCAGGCACTTGTAAAAGGATTTCGGTCCCCGTCATCACTCACTCTCCACGATCGCGCCGCCTCTGCAGGTTGCTGTAAAGACCAAGCGAGGTGTTCGTGCAGTGAAGGTTCCCAACAGGCTGCAGCCTTTTCATCTTGCGTCCGAAAGGGCAAATGACTCTCGCTGAGATGGAAGCAAACCCCGCACAGACGGTGGGTGGTGGGAGACCGAGTGCTCTGCTCACGTCGGTCTCCTGACCAGCAGCTGCTCTCGTTGCATGGCCTGTGGAGAACGTGCGGACAGCGTCACTGTCCCGGCTTCTGTGCAGACAACGGGGCCGGGAGCCCGAGAGCTGTGAACCACTGGGCACCAGTCGCCCGGTTCCCAGGGGTGGGAGCAGCTGTGCGGCACAACCCGTCCAGGGCACTCCACTTGCCATAGTCGAAGACAGGATTTTAGGCTGGACGGTTAGACGTTTCTGCGCACTTAAAGGACACCAGCAGGAGTTTGTAAGAATCAAACTATTCTCGGCCGGGCGCGGTGGCTCACGCTATAATCCTAGCTCTCTGGGAGGCCAAGGCGGGCGGATTGTTTGAGCTCAGGAGTTCGAAGCCAGCCTGAGCAAGAGCGAGACCCCATCTCTACTAAAAATAGAAAGAAATTATCGGGACAACTAAAAATATATAGAAAAAATTAGCCGGACATGGTGGCGCATGCCTGTACTCCCAGCTACTCAGGAGGCTGAGGCAGAAGGATTGCTTGAGCCTTGAGTTTGAGGCTGCTGTGAGCTAGGCTGATGCCACGACACTCACTCT